GAGAGACAAGCTGAAGCGATGGTTTAGAAGACTGATGTCACGCTGTCATTCGTAAGTATATTTCCCTCTTTACCTTTTCTGCCCTTTTGAAGTAGTCCATAGACATTTCTTTATTACACAAGCCAACTCCAAACTGTGGAGGCATATTTTAGTCCCGAGACAATAAGCAAATATCTCTGCATCAAGTGAAGATGTAGCCTGTCCTGAGCAATGACACAGAATATAGCCCCATCTTATATGGAGGGTTCAGAGAACTTTCTTTTTACCTTTATACTTGTTGCCATGCACTGGTGATGGGTTTTGTATTTTTTGGGTCCCATCTTTGGTACAAAGTGACAAAATAAAGCTGATATAGTCCTAAACAGAAAAAGGATTATGTTGTTGCTTCAATATCCAGCGAATATTATCCTCCTGAGACTTGGTGTTTGCTAAAATAGTCTTCTAAATCCGTCTCGCAAATAAGTATTTGAATTCATAGCCTGCTTAGTCATGCTAAAAGGGTTATGTGCTCCTCACAGTCCATACTGATTGAATTTCAGGTCCCTTCAGTCACCGCCTGCTAGAACAGAAACTGAACCCAGAGGCTACCAACCCAGGGGCTTTTCACATGGCATGCCTTATGGTCCAAGAAGTGTACCCATGGTAGGAATGATGTGCTTTCCACCACTTCATGTGTTCTCAGTCTCTGAAGTAACAAATGAAGATGGTTTATTTTTGCACTAGTAATAGCTTTCACTTCTGTGAATGGGTGTTGTTCTCTGTGCTATGAAAGAAAGAGTGGAATTGTTTCCTAAGAGGAAAGAAATCCCTCAGTTCTCCACTGTTAGGCACTATGCTCTGCTCTTCTTTGGGCTGTGCTTGGCTTGGTGGGCAGTTCACTTGCTTTCTATCCCCCTTACCAGGACGCTGGAAATCCCTGCACCACCTGAGAAAATGGTCAATCATGGCCAGCTCCCTAGCCCCACTCCTTTGCAGAGCAGTTCTGTCTGTGGATGCACTAACTAGTGAAAGCACAACTGCAGAACAAATCAAACGCTTGCTATTGTTCTGCCCTTCTGTTTTTTTTTTTTTTTTTTTAAATCCAGAATACTTCCAAACTGCTGTTGCTTCCTTCTATTGAAGTTCTTAGAAGGAAAAAGCAACTCTGACGTTTCCAGAACTGTTTGCAAGCGGTCTTAAACGTCACTTAACTAGTGAGGCAGGTATTATTTCAATTCCTTAAGTGCGAATGTGTGAATGTTCTTGCTGTGTTTCCTTCTTAGGATGTGGAACCAAATACGTTTCCTGTGCCATCTAACCCAGGTAACCAGCATCCTCAGCAGACTTATCACCACTCTTACTACCCATCTCCACATTACCAGGCACCACAACCACAGAAGCTGCCTGCGAGGTTTGTTGAGTTATTGCAAATAGCTTATTTGTAGTTGTATTGATGTATATAGATTGTCATTGCCTTCATCTTCATAAGCAGTAGGGTATTTCATCATATATTATATGATGAAATTTCATCATATATTATATGCCAGCAGGACTGACCTTGTATTGAAAGAATTTTTTTTTTCCCTTCATTTAATGCTGTGGAGCTAAAATGCTGTTTCCTGTAGCATGCATGTTAAACATTGTCATGGCTACATTTTGATTAAACAGGTTTCAGAATGCTGTTCAGGGAATGCTGTTAGTCCTGCATACAGGTGAAAAAAGTGCCTCTCAATGTGCAGCTTTAAAAGAAATCCCTGCCACCACATCCCAAAATAATTCTCTCATATCTCTGATTTGGAATATTATTGTCAATTCACAGATTATTTCTCATTAACCGCTTGCCTTGAACAGCCAGTTTTCCTTAGGTTTTCATTTTACTTCTGAATTGCATTTCTAAAATCTTAATACCTTTGCCTTAAGACACACGCTTATCCAAAAGTATAAGGTGTATCAACAGGTACTACGTTAAAATAGCTCATGTTGATAGGAAATTTGTTGGGGGCCTTTAAACTGTTTTGGGAAAAGTTGTGTGTAACTGAAACAGTGGGATTCTCTGAGGACTTCAGGCAACGGAAAGCAGAGTCTGGACGTAGGATGTTAGAAATGAGTCGCCCTTGTGGAAACTGAGATTGCTGGAAGCAGTGTACTGGAAAGGGGGGAGCCTGAAAGTGACCTTAGGGAGTGCTAATGCAGAGCAGGGGAAAGAAGGAGCAGTTTCCAGACATGAATATTAGATGTAGTCATCTGGACTCATGATGGCTTCTCTGTCCCTCTTGTAGGCCGCCTCCTCCGCAACAGAAATGTGTACCTCAGGGACCTCCTCCATCACAGCAAAAATGTTTACCTCAGGGACACTATTTTCCTTCTCGACCTGCACCTTTGCCTCCCAAATAGCTTTGGCTTCTTTGGGGCCTTCACATGAGCTGACCTGTTCACTGAAACAAAGCTGAAATTGTATTTATCCTTCTTGCATTGAGTGGCCCATGGTAATCCCAGAAAGCCTTCCTTCTGCAGCCTTGGATAAGGCAAATGAGATATTGAAACAAGGAATGTAAAACTTTAAACTAAATACCTCTACCAAAGCTACAGGAACTGAATACGTCAAACCCGTTGTTAGATCTGTCCGAGTATTGTGGCTTTGTAAACTGCAGTAGGGCTGTCCAGCTGGAAGTGGATCAGTCTGCAGTTAAATAATCTTTAAAGTACAGCACTTGGGAGTTACTTTTGGTTTCCCCATTTCTGCGATGAGCCCTAATAATGAAATTGTCTGATTTGTTGTCGTCTTTCTAAATGTACAGTGAAGAACTAAAGTAGCACATACCATTGTCTAAACAAGAAAATTTGGCCAATTTATTTAAACTTACTTTGTACGGACTGGAAAGTGTTATCCATTTAAACATAAATGGCACAAGTGAAATAAGGTATCAGTGTACTTGTTCAGAGGAAGATAAATATATTGTAAACATGTTTATGCATGTGTATATGTTTATTGATGTGTAATAATGCACTTAAATTCATACTTTCATGCTGACTGACACTAAGCTGTACTATATGGACATGAAGTTTAATTTAATGATTTTAAATTAGTAAGTGTAAGTTGCTAAATGAGAAACCTGTACTAATTTCCACTAACATCGTGAATGGGCAATAAAAATAAAGGTACGAAAAAAATGGCCATATTTTGGTTTCAAAAAGTGGCATGCTTTCAGATTTAAATTTGGGTTTAAAGACTATGAATAACAGTCCCTACAGAAGCAAAAAATATGTTTCCTTAGACCACCTGAGCTTCCATGAGCACTTTAAATAGGAACCTGTTGATTAATACAACTTTTCACCTAATCTTCAAATCTTTTTAGTGTCAGTCAGGATGTTTACATAGGCTAACTTGCGTTAGATTGGACTGCCATCAGTGTCTACACCACTGACTAAATCAGGTTTTAATATTGTTTCTGAAAAGGAGTGTTTTAGCATTTGGTGTGCTGGCTGAGGAGAGGAGATCTTGGTTAACCGTGTTACCCTTGTACTCTAGATAGAAACGGGATGATGGTGCTCATGAGTAGAAGTCCGTTACACAAACTTGCTGGAAGTGAAATAAGTATTGAAAGAATGCTTAGCTTTTTCACTTTGTGCTAGCCACTGAATACAAACTCGCTCTGTAAATTTCCCCATAGTATTGCCAAAAAAATTTTTCCTGTGTATATACATATATAAATATATATATATAGTGTTTGCATTTGCAGTAATAAAATACTTGAACTCCTGTGGTTTCCCATAAAGTTAGACTAAGATTTATGACACTATTAAAATACATGGAACTTTACCTAAAATATCACCAGATTTGTTTGTGGAGGTCTACTGTTTGTTCCAAGATAATCACTTAGTTTTTGTTTTTTTCTACTCAGTTTGGGCTATCTGGCTATAGCTATATAGCTTTGCTATTTAATAAGGCAGATGTCTGTTCGGGTCTCTCCAAGCAGTTCATGACATGAATGGCCCAGATGGGAGGGTGGGATGGGTGAAGGGAATCCAAGTAATGAAGAAACACAAGAGAAAGATGTACTTAACTGTATTTAAAGTTGTGTGTGTGAATTAAAACTGTGCTGAAAATGGTGCCTTCTAATAGAGAAGAGTTTTTATACTTTCCGCATGCATGTCAGCAATATTTGCAGGGCAGTGGTCTAAGGCAATGAACATGCAGTTTTTAGAAATGATTTTGTGGAAAGGAAATAGCTCAAATTTTAAATGTGTTGAATATTGAAGATAACTACTGATTTTTGATTTTTTTTAAAGTGTACATTTATCCCTGTCACCTGACTAGATTTGAACAAATTGGAAGCTTTGTCCGTGTCTGATACTCGTTTAAAAACTTTGCACTCGAGGCAAATGTATGTCCGCTTGTTTTCTGTAAACTCCCTCGGGCTGAAAGACACGTGTCACTTTTGTAACGTTTGGTTTATGACGAAAGGGCTTTTCACGGAACCCGTTTGTAAGAAATAAACGAGCAATAAAGAGGCCGGTTTTGTACAAACGCGCTCTGGTCCGCTGGTGCTTGGGGGGGGCGCGGG